AATATATAAAGACCTGATTCAAAAATGGGTGCCTGAAATGAACAGACATTTTTCAGACAAAGAAGTAAAAGCAGCAAATAAATATATGAAAAAATGTTCCACATCACTGGTCATTCGAGAGATGCAGATGAAAACAACACTGAGATTCCACCTCACCCCACAAAGAATGGCTGCTATCAAGAAATCAACCAATAACAAATGTTGGCGGGGATGTGGGGAGAAAAGAACCCTTTTCCACTGTTGGTGGGAGTGCAGACTGGTGCAACCACTGTGGAAATCAATGTGGAGATGCCTTGGAGAACTAGGGTTAGATGTTCCATTTGACCCAGCCATCCCTGTTGTGCCTGAGCGCTGCATCCCCAAGAAGATCCACCACTCATGTATGCAACACACAAGAGCACTTTATTAGCACAGCATGCAGTGGGTCTGCCAGTCGGAGACTGGAGACCTTGAAAAGCAATTTCAAGCCGCTTTTATAGGGTTTGGGATACATTAGTCTTAGTAACAAGCTTTACCTCTATGATGATTGGTTAGTTATTACATTTAAATCCTATTGGCTGTTATTGGGGTGGTGAGGTATCCCGGGTGGCCGAGGTTCAAGGTTGTTACAGGGTGGCTGAGTTACAAGGTTGCTACGGGGTGGCTGAGTTTCAAGGATGCCAGGTGGTCTCATCTAATGGTTTTATACATTCTGTTGTTTTCTCAGGAACTAGTTTGCTTTGCTTAGCAGTCACAAGACAATTGGGTTCATTTTTAGATTCAGGCTCAGTATGAAATGGAGCCTTTTATTACAATATGGAGTTACTCTGGCCTCCACACCTCTGCTGGGCATCTTTCCAAAAGAATTAAAAGATTCATAACACAGTGATATATGCGCACCCATGTGTATAGTGGCACAGTTTGTAATAGCTAAATCTTGGAAACAGCCCAACTGCCCATCAAATGGGGACTGGATAAAGAAGATGTGGTTTTTCTATAAAATGGAGTAGTACTCAGCCATAAAGAATGAGAAACTAGTCATTCACAGGAAAATGGATGCATATTGAGGCCATACTCTTAAGTGAAACAAATAGGACAAACATGTGTAAATACCGAATAGTTTTTCTGGTGTGAAAAACTATTAATAAGATCCAAATTGTATAACTGACAACGTGAAATAGAAAGAAAAGGGCTAAAGGTGTAGGGGAAGTGGGAAGGGTAGGGGAAAGGAAATAAGGGAAAAGAAAAAATGGAAAGACTTTGTAAATAGGAGAGGGAGGAGCGGGTGAAGGGAGGACAGGGATATTGGGAAAAAATGAGAACCAAGCTCTGTCATGTAAAGGTACAAGATCCCAATGATGAATGGAACTGTACTGTATATTTAAAAAGTACTAATTAACTCAGTTAAAGAAAAAAGACCATTCTTCAAATTCTCACTGGTCTCAAAATGATGCTATGACTTCACTGTCATTATGGTAATACAGTGCTCTGCTCATAAAAATCAGAAAGGTAAATCATTAGTGTCTCTGAGGCTGTCGGAATACACTTTTCATCCTAATGTCCTGAGAAGATCATCATTAGATATCTCCTCGCAACCACGGAGGAAACTTGTTGTTTACAGTGTTGAATGAAAACAAACAAACCAAAGCACAGCCCTGTCGGCTATGTATTCTGTATCAAGCAAAACTGTCCGCACAGGTGAAGAGGATCTTGGGACTTTCCCAGAAGCACGTGCTGAAGGCCCACGCCAGGCCAGGGGCCTCAGAATGTCCAAGGAAAAAGCCGGTAAAGCCAGCAACGGAAGAGAACTCGGGGCCCAACTGTCCCCAGCTGCCTGTAGATGGATGGGGCGTGCTGTCCTGCTCTGGGCTCTGCAGGTCCTCACAGAGAGGACATTTTGAGAAGTGAGGGGCGGTGTCAGGGGTGTCAAACACCCCTGGTAGAGTCTTAGCAAGGTAAAGAGGTGGGGACGGTCACGTGAAAGCAGATGGCCAGGGGTGCTGCCCCTGCCTTCGGTTCTCTCCCTGTGCCAGGAAGGAAGGGGTTTGTTCCCCTCCGGGGGTGGGGAGGAGTGAAAGGGCTGTGTTCTGGAGCAGCCTCCTGATATGCGTGCGCTCACAGACCTGAGCGGGACGGGTTCCGTTTCCACCGAGGATCGGGGCACTCAGAGGCCGAGAGGTACAGCGGGAAGAGCGCAGGCCTCTCCCGCCCCGGGCCTGGGTCCTGTCTCAGCCCCGCCCCGTTGCTGCCTGAGGGCAGTGCCACCGTCCTGTCAGGGCTCAGTCTCCCCTTCCTGAGGCGGAGGTCAGGGCAGCTGCTAGCAGGGGCGGCGCTGAGTGTGACTGGAGCTCCGTCTCTGTCTGTCTCCCCACCCCAGGCCCTGGGGAACAACTCAGTGTGCTCCTCCGGCCCTCTCTCCTGCAGGGAAGCCTCAGCACCCTGCGGGATGATGGGTCTGCGTGCAGAGGATCCTGTGGCCAGGGCCTCAGACTCCCAGGTGTCCCGAGGTAAGAGGCACCACCTCTGAGGGCAGGTGGGAGGGCCCTTCCCTGGCCTGGGACCTCCTCCCTTCACCAAGGAGCCGGGACGCTGCTCAGATGCCTGGGACATTCGCAGGGACTGCTCGGGGACAGGCCTTTGTCTCCCTCAGCTGTGCGTGTGCCTGGCTGCTTCTGCAGTGCCCCGAAGGGTGTGTTCAGGATCTTCTCAGAGAGGCGCAGGTGTCCAGCTGCAGATGGGGCGGCTCAGATGACACAGGAGACGCGTGTGTGACCCAGAGGGTGGCACTTCCTGGGGAGCCAGTCCCCGGGCAATGAGGAGCAGAAATGAGACAGCTACAGGAAGTAAGGACCAGAAGGTCCTCCGACTGGCCTTGACCTTCACCTTGGATGAGTGTCTGTGTGTCTAAGGTTGTACTAGCTTTTCCCTTGCTGGGACAAAGCACCTGACATGAGCGTCTTAAACAATGAAAGTTGTATCCTGGCTCATGGTTTCACGGAGTGCAGTCCGTCCACGGTCAGCTGGCTACAAGGAGAAAACATCATGGCGGAAGGGTGTGGTAGAGGAAAGACGCTCAACTCACAGCAGCCGGGAGTGAGATAGAGGAAGAGGTTGGGACAGGATCCACCCTCCAGGTCAGGCCCCCATGGACACACATCCTCTGTACACTGAGCTTTGAACTCAAGAGTGGGTTAATCGGTCCGTGGAGGAGCACAGGGCTCTAGGACTCAGTCACCTTCCAAAGCCCAGCCTCTGACGAAGGAATGAACCTTTGGGGGACAGGTGTGATCCAAACCATACCAGAAGGGTGTGAGCGTGTGTGAGTGTGTGTGTCCGCATGTCTGGTGGGTGAAAGGTGAGTGTGCACGCATAGGTGTCAGGTGTGAGGATGGGAAGAGGTGCAAGTGGGCGCACACGAGTGGAGAGCGTGAGTTGGCCGTGAGTGTGAACACCTGAGGGTGAGGGGACCTGTGAGCAGGTAGGTGAGTGTGCACAGAGGTGTGAAGAGATGAGTGGCTTAGTGTGTGAGGATAATGTGCGTGGGAACAGGGGAGGAGCTCGGATGCGGTAGTGTAAGTGAGCAGGCACAAGTAAGGAGCGTCTGTGGTGTGAGCATATGTGCACGAGTGTGAGTGTGAGTGTGCACCCTTGCCCGACCCCTCTGGCTTCCCCGTGCAGCCACAGGCCCCAGGCTGACGCCTCCCGTGGTGACTCCCTGCTAGGCCCAGGGGCAGTGGGACCTGCAGCCTGGCCTCTTCCTGAGGTTTCTGGTTGCCATGGCTACCATAGGAGGTGTGCTGACCCCAGGCTGAGAAGTGGACTCCGTTGAGACCCCTGCTCGTGGAGCCCAGAATCCACTCTGTTTCCACCGGATGCAGGTGAGACGGGGTCCAGATCAGCCCCCGAGGTCGGGATTGCGCCCGGCCGCCCATCCACCCAGACTCAGCCCTCGTTCAGGAGCCTGGCCTCCCTCGGGCCGGCCGGTGCCAGCTGCACATGTGGGGCTGAGGTCGGCCCAGCCCTGCCTCGAGGCCCTCACGGCCCACGGGAGCGGTGTGCACAGCCCTCTCCACCCGGACAGCAGTGGGATGGGGTGTGGAGGCCCACGGAGCCAGGGCTTCCGGATGGGGGAGCTTAGAAAGGGCCTCTCACCAGGAAGCCGGGGCTCTCCAACCGGAAGGGCCCCGGAGGGCAGATTCTCAGTGCAAGGGACAAGGGACCC